GATCGACGTCGATGTGAGTTGGAGTTTCACGTTGGTGACATGGTACTACTGAAGGTCTCACCTTGGAAGGGTGTGATTCATTTCAGGAAGAGGGGGAATTTGGGTCCCTAATACATTGGACCCTTTAGGGTTATTTCCAGGCTTGGCAAGGTGGCATATAGACTGGACCTCCCTGAGGAGCTCAGTCAAATTTACAACACTTTTCACGTCTCGCAATTGCAGAAGTGCATACTAGATGAGGAGGCAGTAGTGTCATTAGATGGCATTCAGGTCGATGAGCGCCTGAATTACGTGGAGAGGCCAGTGGCCGTTCTAGAGAGGAAAGTGAAGCTTCTACGGAACAAGGAGGTACCTTTGGTAAAAGTACAATTGGATCAACAGAGAGGATCAGAGTGGACTTGGGAGCCAGAAGCTGAGATGCGGGAGCATTACCCGGATCTATTTGCTACAGTAGACTTCGTGGACGAAGTCTAGTTCAAGTGGAGGATAATTGTAACATCCCGAATCCCATGTATAAATTTTAAAGATTTTATATTCATAATTATAGACCTACTTGACAAGTTGGCTTCCCCAACTTGTCGTGTAGAGACTGATCAGGCCGCGTAGTTTATGAAACCTACTCGATGAGTTGGAGGACCCCAACTCGACGAGTAGAGGTTGTGCATGAAAACCCTAATTTTTAGGGTTTTCACCCTATTTAAAGGACCTTAAGTCCTTCTTACCAGCTTTTCATGTCCAGAAGCAAACCCTAATCGAGCTAACCCCTATTTTGAGTGTGTATGAGGCTAAAAGTGTATGTTTGGTGCATTTCTTGAAAAGACTTGAAGATTTAGAAGCTTGGAATGAGAAGGGGATTGTAGATCTAGCATCTACATGGTTTTGGCATTCATTTGAAGGTAAAAAGTCATTACCTTGATCATTTTCTTGTTAGATCTCTTCATCCAAAAGTTTAGGGTCATTTCTAGCTTATTCTTGAAGTATTTCTGGTTTTGAGCTTGATTTGAAGCTGTAACTTCAGATCTGGACTCCTCTAGGCCCTCATGGACATAAACCCTCAAGCTTTATGAATCTTTGGCACTTCTCTATGCCCTAAACCTCTTCCTAAGGCTAGTTTTAGTGTTTTACTTCCTTTGAAGCCTTGCATGCACGTAAAGTTGGCAACTTTACATGCTAACTACACCCTAGGAGGTTACATCTACAGTTTGGAGCCTTGGTTTCGCTTAAAAAGTGTTTGAATGAAAAAAGGACTGGAGGAACTCGACAAGTTAGATGAGGGTTTCCTGCTTTCTGGATTCTGCATGAACTCGGCGAGTTAGTGAGATAACTCGACGAGTTGGTTAGGGTTTTTTTCCTGATATATTGGATGTTGCATGGACTTGATGAGTTACTTGGTAACTCGGCAAGTTGACTGGGGTTTTCGTGATTTTCTGAGTGTTGAAGGAACTCGATGAGTCTGTAAGTTGCACTCGACGGGTTGGGTCAACATGGACTGTTGACCTTGTCCGTTGACTTTGACTTTGACCAAGAGTTGACTTCTGAGGGTATTTTGAATTTTTGGAATTGGATCAATGATGGTTGTAAGTGTTGGTGTTTGGACCCGTGTTTCGAGAGTTTGATCTTTTCAGTTTCGTTCGACATCGTGAGGTGAGTTTTCATCACTATACTGACAGGGTCGAAGTCACCAATGTCGACCCTTTTTGGATTGTTATCCCGGTTATTGCATGATGATACGCTTAGTGACCGGTTAGGTCGATATCTTGGTATATAAGATGATGTTATGTTAGTGACCTGTTAGGTCGGTATCCTGGTATATAGGATGATACTATGATTAGTGATATGTTAGATCAGTTTGACTGTTTGTATATGTTATCAATTGATATATATATATATATATATATATATGTATGTATATATGTGCGAGTGTGTGTGCGTGTGTGTGTGTGTGTTGATTGTATGTTGGGGTTTGGTTGAGGTGGACCTGCTTTGTGTTGTAAGCCAACATACCTAGGGCGGCCCAGATAGACTGCAAGCCCAATGGGGCATATTAGTCAGTCTGAAGGCCCGGAGAACAGTCCAAACAGGATGAAGGCCCGGTAGGGTGGACCAGACATGTTGAAAGTTCTGAGAGTGGGCCGGATAGACTGAAGGCCCGGTGAGGTCGGTCCAGTGATACTGTAGACTCTATATGCATATTGTTTGTTATGATATGGTTATGGTTTGTATGACGTTGGTATTTTGGGGGAACTCACTAAACTTCGGGCATACAGTTTTGGATTTTGTTTCAGGTACTTCGGATGATCGCGGGAAGGCGAATGTGTGATCGTGCACTTCCTCACGTTTTATGATTTTGATTTTTGGGATACTCTGAAATGAAATTATTTTGAAAACATTTTGAAATAATTAATGATTTTTTGATGTTGAAATTTTTTAAAAGTTTTATGAAATTTATGGATGTTACAACAGAAGTACATACCCTTAAAATGAAAATAATAATAATAATAATAATAATAATAAATAAATAAATAAATAAAATAAATAAATAAACTCACGATTAAACCACTATACATAAGTTTGCTGGGCTATAATGACAATAACTCATTTTTCTTTTGAATGTATAGATCTAATATATTATTAAATTATTCTTAATTTTAGAAAATCTAATTATATAGATGAGGGTATTTAGATTATTAGGTTAAAATAAGGTTAAATCATATTTTGTCATTTAACTTTTGAATTTATGTTTATTCGGTCACTTAATGTATTTTAAGTTTAAAAAATGTCACTTAACTCATTTTATGTTTTAAAATGTCGTCTAATTTATAAATTTATGCCAAAACGGTCGTAAAACATTTTTTATCACTTAACTTTTAGATTTGTGTTCATTTTGTCACATTTTTTCTTTAACTTTTTTTTTATAATGGCCAGCTAATTCATTTTAAATTTTAAAAGGTCACCGAACTTATAAATTTATGCCAAAAAATGGTCATGAAATATTTTTTGGTCACTTAATTTTTAGATTTGTGCTCGTTTGGTCATTTTTCTATTTTAAAAGTTTTTTTTTATAATTTGTTTGTATAACTTTATTTTAAAACTTTAGTAACTAAATAAGTACAATTTCTAAATTTTGTTATGTTTGATATAAATCTATATTTATGTGGTAATATAATTATACAAGTATTGAGTGTTTTGCTATGACATTTTTATTTTCGTTTGAAACATGTTTTTTGCTCATTGTTATGATTTTTTTGACCGAACACACAACTATTAAATGTTTTGTTAACTTTTAGTTATTAGTTGTTAATGTAACACTTTTAAAATTGGTTATATTTGATATAAATCTATATTTATATGGTAAAATAACTATAAATTAATATAAAATTGTCGCCTTACATCATGCCTTGAAAAACGTCATGACTCTTAAAGCTTGAGTTTTGTCTTGCCGCCACGACACGCCTTATGTCTTTTAGAACCTTGACAATTATACCCTCTTTTAACTATTGTATGTTATAACCACAAATCTTACGCACACAAATCCGTAGATACCCAATGTCCAACGAGCCTATTCTATAAATATATTTTCAAGGGTAATTATGGAAATTGATTTCAAAAGCTTAGTAGCGTTTTGTTAAACGCTACATGAAGTAGCTTTTAGATTTGGAATGTTTTATTTAAACTAAAAGTTAAACACCCGTACTACCAAACGAAACTTAAGTGATAGGAACCTATATTTTGTATTTTAAACCACAAAATCAAATGTATAAAAGTATAGAACTATAGATATTGTATAATTCATAGAGGAGGGTGTAACAAATTAGATTGGAATCAACCGATTACTTCACCCTTTCTTTGTAATTGAAACAATATAAAAATTACCTGTAATAGCCTCTTGTTTGTTAGGTGAATATGATATTAAATAAAGTTTCTTTTCCCGGTTCAAAAAAAAGATATTGGGTAAATTACATGGATGGTGCCTGTGGTTTGGGGTAACCTGCGCGCCTAGTCCCTGAGCAAGATTTTTAACTCGGGTGATCCCTAATGTTAAAATTCGTAACCCGCCTAGTCCCTCATTTAACATTCCGTCTGTTTTGTGGTTAGAAACCCCCCACGTGAAAAGCACGTTGGGGGTATTTTTGTCTTTTCATATCACCCAGTCTTTAAATATGGTTTATTCGTCTTCCTCCCTCATTTCTTTCTCAATCGTAGTGTTCTCCTCCCACCTTTCTTCTCACAGCCGATTAAAAATGGTGAAATGCAATTGTGGTGCGATAGGCGTTATACGAACTTCAACTAAGAAAAGAAACCCAGGTAGGGCATTTTATGCTTGCCCGTTAGAGGTATGATCTTGTATTGTTTTGGGGGATTTTCTATTTTAACCCTAGTATGTATATCTGCTAATCGAAGCCATTGACAGTACAGAGACCAAGGTCTGGCTTTATTAAGTGGGTAGATGATGAAAAGCATGGTGATGAGGCGGAGATAAAAAATGAGGGGCTTGAAGTCTGAATTCAAGAACTTGAGGTCCAAAATCGGAATATGAAAACATTGTTAATAATCAGTTGGGTTTTGTTTTTTGGGATAATTGTTTACGAGTTGTAGTGTTAGGTTTAAGATCAATTGATGTAGTTGTTTTTGTTTATAATGCTTTGTAATGAATGTTATTTGTATCAATGGTACCCTTTTATCAATGCATTGTAATGAATCTTATTGGTATACCCTTTTATCAATGAAAATGATATTTTGTTGAACTTCATTGTATTTTACAATTTGTGAGGTATACTGGGACCATCTGTGTAAAACTACAATGTTAAAAGCAATCACAAGATTACATTGTTTTTCAAAAAATGAGCAAAATAGGTGACCAAAATAAAAGCAATGCCGAAAGCAATCAAAAGATTACATTGTTTGTCAAAGGCAAAGTACATTGCTAAAACTAGATTACTATAATTACAACATTGTTTTTCAATAGCAATCAACACAATCATGACAACATATAACCTAGTTCAAATTAAGACTATGTTTGTCAACATCAACCAAAACAATACATAAGCACCTAAAAACCACATGTATGGGACACCTTTCCCTTTTTTGCTAACAACTGCCTTCACTTTTGCACTTCCATCCTTCACTTTTGCACTTACAGCACCACCAACCTTCACTTTTGCAATTCCATCCTTCACTTTTGCACTTCTAGCACCACCAACATTCCTTAAAGTTTGTGATCCACCAGCCTTCACTTTAGCACTTCCAGCACCACCAGCCTTCTGTCCCTTGCAAGTCCTTGCATCATGACCAATTTTGTTACATTTAGAACATGTCACTGACTTTTGTGCTCTTGACAATTGGTTACCTTTCACCAAATCCTCAACCTCCATGGCAGATCTCCTTCTTTTTTTCTTTGGTCTTCCAATGGGCACATGGTGTTTTGAAGGGAGTAATGTTGTAGGGCATGTAGACTTCTCCCACATGTTCCTTCCATTGATTGGTTGAATTGTAAAAGAGTACATATTCTTCCATGTTTCTAACCAATATGTTCGATTCACCCAATGTTCTGGTATCTTATCAATCTCTTTGTTCTTCAACATCTCCCACATAGTTGCTATTGCATGTGCACATGGTATCCCTATTAGTTCCCACCTTCTACATGAACATGTCTGTTGGCCCATATCTACCACTAACTATTCCATAAGATTTTTACTTACTTGATATTTCCCATTACCACAGAAAACATACCTTAATTGTGTAGCCTCTTTCTTCAATTTTCCAACCCATATGGTAGCTGTGGGAGTCAAGGGGTCTGTAGCTTTATCAATTTCCTTTTGAACAGTTACAACTTTCTTCATTAAGTACTCTCTAATGTACTCCAAACATTTAATGATTGGTACATCACGACCTTCAACAATCTTGCTATTCAGAGATTCACACATATTGTTAAGCATAGCATCTGTATGAGCTCTACCTGATAAATCAATAATAATGCATCAGTCTTTGTTACAAACTAATGATCTAACATTAAAATCTACCTGTAAAGTGTGAACGAGACCAATGTTGAGGAGGAATGTTTTTAAACCACTCATACGCATCATTATTAAGTTTTCTTACTTCATCCATTTATCGTTGAAACTGTTGAACAGTAGATGCTTTTGCACAATCCCATAGTAGGTCTTTGAATTGCTTTCCCCTCCAACTAGCTTTCATGTTTTCATGGATATGATGAAGAAAATAACGATGCTCAGCGCATGGAAACAACTTTGCTATAGCAGGTAACACTCCCTATACATGGAAAATATGTATTAAAAGTATACCATATATAATGTATTAAATGTAAATGTAAACAACTTCGAATTAATACCTTTTGCCTGTCTGTCATAAATGTAAAATTCGAGTTGGTTCCTAAACCCAAATCATCCCCTAGACAAGTTAGAAACCAAGTCCATGAGTTGGTACTCTCAGATTCCACAACAACATAAGCCAATGGATATGTTCCATTGTTACCATCAATTCCCTAAATAAGTAGATATTTCACAATTAACCTAAAATACAACTTTTTATAATATAACTCAATGGATATAAATGTAGTTCATATGAAAAAAGGTTACCACAGCTGAAAGTATTTGTCATGGGTATGGACCCTTCATAAAAGCACCATCGAGACCAAGAAAGTCTCTTATTCCAGCAGCAAATCCCTTTTTTAAAGGACCAAGACAGATGTAAATGCGCTTGAAAGTTCTAGTTTCTGCATTTTGATTTGGTTCATTCTCTACATCAATCTTTACAGTCGTGTCTAGGTTATGTTTGTGAAGTTCTAGAACATAATCTCTCAATAAAGCATACTGACCAACATAATCCCCTCGCACCTGATTGAGAGCTTCAGTTCTAGCCCTAAACACCTTCATCTTGGAAAGTCCCACTTGGTAATCACGTTGTAGTTGTTCTTGTAAAGCATGAATTGGAATAGTTGGGTTAGATTCCACCTGACTTGCAATTTGTTTGGCGAAAAACTTATAAGTACAAGCTTTAACATTCCGCGTTTGGAGACACCGTTGTTCTTTGTTGTAAGATTTGACCATCCAGTTTATGTAACGTTTCCATTTACTAGCATAGAGGCTCCACGGGCACTTTTCTTCATCTTCATTGTTGACTTCTTGTTGACCTTCCCCACTATTGTCTAAGTTTCCCAGTTTTGGTATTGTCCCCCTACACACAACTCTTACCCTATTCTTGTCATTTTTTCAAATTCAAGTTCCCTTCTTGTCTCAATAGCATGGAGTTTAACTCTTTCTTTAAACTCTTGGGCTGTATTAAAGGTTTGAAGGATATAAAATGGTTCAGCAACATTTGCTTCATCATTCTCGTGAGCTCTTTGGATAGCTTTGATGGCCTTCTTTCGTTGAGCAACTGGTCCTTCATCCGAAGATGAGCCTGACATAAGAACCTCGTTATTTAGTACTTCATTAAGCTCCCAAACTTCATTCTCTTCTTCTACCACATTGCCATTCTTACCTCCAACCCACTCTGCATTCATATCAATGTTATCATTGAAATCATTCATGTCAACTTCTACATCATCTAAGATATTGTCATTGTCAACATAAAAGTCTATGTCATCGGACTCACTAGATTCATAACCACTATCATCCCCAAATTTGTCCCCGCTTCCAAATTCATCTTCATTTATGTCCTCAAATTTGTCCCCACTTTCAAATTCAGCACATCGATCTTCTCCATCCTTGTTACCATCCTCAAATTCAACTTCATTTGTGTGGTCAATTTTGTCCCCAATTTCAAAATCAGCACATGGATTTTCTTCCTTGTTATTATCCCCATTATCAATTACAGTTAACTCCATATTGTCATTTCCAGTGAGGTCCACTACATTAGCCTCTTTAGAAGCATCCCCAACAACATTTTTTTCACTAGTATCATACCAATCTAAGAAAAGCCTACGAGAACATGTTGGAGGTTCAATAATTTCATTTATTTGAATTTTTGATTGATTTGGGGACATTGTGTACGTATGTAATTGGGTTTTTCCATGCTCAATATAGTTTTCAATCAACTTATGCTTGGAAATGAAGGTACCCAGATGTCTCACATCCTGATCACTACCCAGAGCAAATAACCCGAAATCTAAATCTGACAAAGGTCGTTTAAATTGATAGTACAAAGGTATACCTTCATCAACATAGCCTAACTGTTCCATCATTTCATCAATGTCATGCACTGAGAAAGTATCCATGTCGAGTAAGTCCACATACGTTTGTTTTCCTTTGATGTACTTTCTTCTAGGAAATTTGGTGAACTCTCCACCATGGTACAAGCTAATGGAAAAGATTGTCGGATGCCCCCCCCCCCCCCCCCCCCCCCCCCCGTGAAATAACCCACTTCATCTTAGGTTTCAACAAAATCAAAGTTATAGAAGATTGAGAGTGAAAGAATACTTACAGTAACGACGTCCAACATCGATTTCCTCCATACTTGCACGTATATACCACAACACCATTGTGTTTCAGAGACGAAGATATCACGATTAGGGTTTTCTTATCTTGACTGTGAAATTTTTGTCTGGGTTTTCTCAACGGAAAGATGGAGTACTGAGAAAATGATCACCTCTTCGTATACAACATGGTGGTAACTGAATAATATTAAAAAGACAAAAATGTCCTGCGTGCCTTGCACGTGGGGTGTTTTACCGGAGCAACTAGACGGAATGTTAAATGAGGACCAGGCGGGTTACGAATTTTAACATTAGGGATCACCCGACTTAAAAATCTTGTTCAGGGACTAGGCGCACAAGTTACCCCAAACCACAGGGACCATCCGTGTAATTTACCCAAAGATATTGTATAATTATTATCGACGATATATAAACACGCGAAAACTTATGCCCAATATATTTACACGTTTATAATCAAAACAAATACCTCAATAATGATTGATCTTTTTTATTTTTATATTTGAAATATTATCATGTGTTGTATATAAAAGCAACCATAATTTTAATAAAGTTAAACAATAACCGATTATATTATTATACGAACATAAAAAATGAATACTAAAATTTGTAATGAAATATATTATGTATTGTTTTTTATAATATAAAAAAAATTAAATATATTTTATAAATTTTCAGTTATTAATTATCTTTTCTTTAAAACGTTTTTTTTTTTTTTTTTTTTTTTTTTTTTTTCATATTTGAAATTTCTCAAGATTATAATTTTAAGAAATTATCTTTGATAACTATTTCGCTTTATATAAAAGGAACCATAATTTTATTAAAGTTAAATAATAATTGTTTATATTATTATACGAACATAAAGAATGAATATTAAAATTTGTAATGAAATATACTATGTATGTATTGCTTTTATAATATAAAATCAATTTTAGAATATATATTATAAATTTTCAGTTTTTATTAAATTTTATTTTTATTAATTATTTTTTTAGTTATTAATTATATTTTCTTTAAAACGTTTTTTTTTTCATATTTGAAATTTTTCAGGATTATAATTTTATGCGATTATGTTTGATATATATATATATATATATATATATATATATATATTATATATATATATATATATATATATATATATATATATATATATATATATATATATATATAGGTTCACGTTCACTTGAATTAACCAAAAAAAAATTAAAAAAATATCCCGTTTTTTTTTTTAATATGTAAAATATTCTAATAGAATATTACACTGTACATATTCTAAAAAATAATTTTAAAATACAAAATAAATGAAAAATCTAAAAAAGTCTTTTTTTAAATATTATTTTCGGAACTTGAATTAACTAAAAAAATAATAAATAATAAAAAAAATCCAGTTTTTTTTTTTTTTTTTTTAAATACGTGAAATATTCTAATAGAATATTACACTGTACGTATTCTAAAAAATAATTTTAAAATGCAAAATAAATGAAAAAATAAAAAATTCTTTTTTTAAATATTATTTTCGAAACTTGATCTAACTAAAAAAAATGCATCTCACGGTATTACAAAATTAGACCGTGTCACATGAACTTAACCCTATATATATATATATATATATATATATATATATATATATATATATATATATATATATATATATATATATATATATATATATATATATATATATTGTTGAATTCAACATGAAACTATTTCCAACCTTAGAACAAATAAACCAATTTTTTTCTTAACTTTTAGAACAATTTTTTCATCAAAAAAAAAATCTAAAAATATAGATATTTATAATTTTTTATCCTCCATCCATTGATATAAAATTTGATTAAAAAAATTGATCTTTTCAAATTCACACTCTGAATTTGTTCAGATTCACATTGTCAATCTGTGCAGATTCACACTGTGAATCGGAACAAATTCAGAGTGTGAATCTGAACAAATCAATTTTTTTATCAAATTTTGTATCAATGTATGGATATACAGTGAATTTGTGCAAATTCATGCAGCGAATTTATACAAAATTAATGATTTTTAGTCCAGATTCACAATAATAACAAAAAAGTTATAAAAAAACGGAAAGAAGATAAAAGTTATGAATTTTTATATTTTTAGAATTTTTTTTAGATAAATAATAGACAAAATTACACAAATGGTCCTAGTGTTGACTCAATTGGCCAACTTTGGTCCTTATAACAACTTTTGTGCGTAGATGGTCCCTGTAGTTTCAAAATCTTGCAAAGATAGTCTTTTTGACTAATGGTGTTAACTTTTTAAGTCTCGTATGAAATGACCAATTTGCCCTTCATGGCATAAAAACCATTTATGTAATTTGTTCCGGCCACAGGAACCATTTATGTTATTTTGTCTATTATTTATTATTTTTTATTTAATTTATTTATATTTCTATGATTTAGAAAAAAAATTTGATGTTTTGTTCGAATATATTCCTGATGTTTTTATACAAAAAAATTTTGCTTGTATTTTTTGATACTTTTTTCGTATAATTTTTTCTAACTTTTTTGACGTTTTATTCGAATATATTTACTAATATTTCTTTTGACTTTTTTCTTGAATAATTTCTTCAATTTTTTTGATGTTTTGTTAAAATATATTTTTTAATGATTTTTTTCATTTTATTTCTTTTTTTTTATATTTGCTAAAGATTTCATGGTCACGATAGTTATAATTCGTAACTTAATTAATTTACAATAATATTTTTCTATTTTTTTTGTTCTTTTAATATATATAATGGTATATAATAGTTATTTTTTATTCAAATATATAACTATATAACGCATATAAGGCTGTATAATTATTATTGTTGTAAAGCTTTTTATAAATATTTTTTTAATATATAAAAAACTTTGTTAAATATAAACATGATTTAATATAGATAGGCTAATCGTAACATGGACGCTCTAGTTAAGACTACGATACGGTAACTTATGTGTACCCAATTTATATTAATCATATTCATGTTTAACAAAAAATTGTATATTTTTTTTTATTAAAAATGTTTATAAAAAGATTTACAAAAATAATAATTATACAACCTCATATGTGTTATATAGTTATATATTTGAATTATAAAATATTAATACTTATAAAACCTTATCTATATTAAAGAACAAAGAAAGGAAAAAATGATTTTAAGTGAATTAAGTTAGGAGTTATCATTACAGTGACCATGAAATCTTTAATAAATACAAAGAAATTAAAGAACAAAGAAAGGAAAAAATGATTTTAAGTGAATTAAGTTAGGAGTTATCATTACAATGACCATGAAATCTTTAATAAATACAAAGAAACAAAATGTAGAAAAAAACATTAAAAAATATATTCCAACAAACAATAAAAAAATTAGAAGAAATTTGTAACATTCTAATGACGATGTATTTTCAATCTTAACCCTAAATATGAAGATAAATTGCATTTTAGCCCTTATGGATGGAAAGTGTTGCAAAATGGCCCATTATGTCATTTTTGTAATTTTGGGGATGAACTCACGTACGCTGAGAGTACGTGCCTGATCCACAAACCCTAATTTTTAGGGTTTGGACCCTATATAAACATCATTAACTCTCCAATGCTCACTCCTTCACCAGCCTCCAACCCTCATTTCATCAATTGCAACCCTAATCTTTTGTGTGTGTTCCTTTGAGCTTGAAAGTATGTGTTTGTGGTGCTTTTGAAGCAAGGAGAAGAGAGAAGCACCAACTTGGAAGATTAAGACCACATAGATCCAGGATCACCTCACCTCCAAGATTTATTTTGGGGTATAAAGTTTTGAACTTGATGATCATATCACTCGATCTTACTTATGCTAAAATCTATGCTTATTAGCCCCATATTCTTGGTTCTTTTAGGTATGAGCTACCCTATACCCAATGAGTTTTCCTTCTTGATTCTTTTGGTTCTTTTGGGTATGAGCTACCTAAGACCCTACTCCCACGTACGCCACGCTTACATGGGCACCTCCGCGACTAAACCAACGAGCCAGTACGCCCACCACACTCACAGAGTACGCCCAGCGTACTCGGCCAGGGACTAATTTGCAAGGATTTTTAAAATGAAAGTTAAAAGGAAAATACACGAAATGAAAATGTTACATTGGGACTCTTACCTTCCCTTAACTGAGTTTTCGTTCAACAACAGCTACTACTCTAATATCGGTGTGCCGCCTTTCGAGCTCCTCTATGGTAGGAAGTGTCACACCCCAGTATGTTGGGGAGAGGTTAGTCAAAGAGTCATGGGAATGGTTGAGGTAGTTCTTTAGACGACATATCTCATCCAACAGATCGGACAGAGACTTTAGACAGCTTAGAGTTGGCAGAAGAGTTATGCCAACAAGCGGCGATCTGAGTTGGAGTTCCATGTCAGGGATATAGTCTTACTGAAGTTATCACTCTGGAAGGGCATGATATGCTTCAGGAAGAGGGGCAAGTTGGGGCCCTGATATATTGGGCCATTTCGGGGTGATATCCATGGTTGGTAAGGTAGCGTACATATTAGATTTTCCTGAAGAACTTAGCCAAATCCACAACACCTTCTATATGTCTCAGCTTAGGAAGTGTGTGGCTGATGATACAACGGTGGTTCCGTTGGACGATGTTCAAGTTGATGATCACCTGACTTACATTAAGAGGCCAATAACGATCTTGGATCGAAAGACAAAGGCTTTGTGCAACAAGGCGGTGACTTTAGTTAAGGTTCAGTGGCGGCATCGGAAGGGTTCTGAATAGACTTGAGAACCCGAGTCTAAGATGCGGGAGCATTACCTAGAGTTGTTCACAACAACGAAATTTGAGGACGAAGTCCAGTTCAAGTGGGGGAGAATCGTAACACTTTGATGATCAGGTGTTTTCAATCTTAATCCTAAGTATGAAGATTAATTGCATTTTAGCCCTTATGCACGAAAAATGTTGCAAAATGGCCCATAGTGGCATTTTTGTAATTTTGGGGAACCTGATCCACAAACCCTAATTTTTAGGGTTTTGACCCAATATGAACATCATTAACTATCCAATGCTTACTCCTTCACCAGCCTCTAACCAACATTTCATCCATTGCAACCCTAATCTCTTCTGTGTGTTCCTTTAAGCTTGAAAGTGTGTGTTTGTGGTGCTTTTGAAGCAAGGAGAAGAGAGAAACACCAACTTGGAAGATCAAGACCACATAGATCGAGGACTACCTTACCTCCAAGCTTTATTTTGAGCTATAAAGTTCTAAACTTGATGATCATATCACTAGATCTTGTTTATGTTAAAAGTTGATAGTTATTACCCCCATATTTTTGGTTCTTTTGGGTATGAGCTACCCTAGACACAAAGAGTTGTCCTTCTGGAATTTTTAGGTTAGTTTACGTGATAAAAATGTGATATTTGACCTTCCTTTCACCCCATGCAAGTGTTGAGGTATCATAATGGGTTAAGAAGTTAGGGTTTTAACTCTTGGGAATTTTATAGCCATGCAACAACATAAAGTTGGAAACTTTATGGTGACGGACAATAGTTTAGGGTTAGATCTAAGAAATGGATGAAAAAAACTTAAAAGAATATGCTCTTAATAGAACGATTAATGGAAGGCCTCGTATGTTGGGCGTATAGATTGGTACGTTGAGCGTACAAGGTCAACCTTATGATTCTGGTCAAAGGCTGAGTATGCCCCACGCTCAGGCTGGGTACGCCCAACATACTCAGCTATGTTGACCAAAGTTTGAATTTTGACTTTTTTTACTTTGACCAATGTTTACCTAAAGGTATTTTAGGTAATTTGAGTGGTATTTGAGATTGGTCATTATTTGGCGTTTAGGTGACCAATTAAACTATCATTTGGAGCTATGTTTTGTCAAAGATCTTTTCATACTAAGAGGTGAGTTATCCTCACTGTAATTGCGAGTCGAAGGCACCAAAGCAGACCTAGTGGTTGATAACTTGTTTCATACTTTTTGTTGATATATTGAGCGTGCGATAGACCTGTATGACTAAGATAGCTACTAATAGGTGTTAGACTGGTAGACCTATAGGGCTATATGTGATTATTGGTTGTATGATTATCTATTTGTTGAGTATGCTTTTTGTCTATTATATATCGACATCTTATGCGGGTTGGGACTACTACTTTGTGTTGTCAGTTAATAGACAGGGGCATTTTAACCCGGAGGTTGTGAGCCAGGGTAATCCAACCAGGAGGTTGTGGACCCAGTATATGGTATGCAGGACAATCCAACCGAAAGGTTGTGGGCCATGGTCATCCAACCGAGAGGTTGTGGACCCATCATTCTAAATCTATGTATATTATATGTTGTGTGATGGTACTTTGAGGATCTCACTAAACTTTGGCTTACAGTTTCAGTTTATTGTTTCAGGTACTTCAGATGATTGTGAGAAAGCGAAGTCCTAATCGTGTACATCTTTCTATTTTCATGATATTGATTTTTGGGACACTCTGATATGACTTTACTTTTGAAACAATGGTCTTTTTGTAAACAATTATGGATATTGGTTGTTTTTTTTTTTTTTTTAATTTTAAATTTCTATGATTTTTGGAGTGTTATGCAATTATTCAAACAAAAAGTCAAAAGAAATATTAATAAATGTATTTGAAATAAATGTCAAAAAATTAGAAAAAATTATACGAACAAAATATCAAAAAATATAAGCAAAAAAAATATAAAAAAACATTAAATAATATATTCAAACAAAACATCAAAAAAATCTAAATCATAGTAATATAAATAGATTAAATAATAATAATAATAATAATAATAATAATAATAATAATAAATGACACTACATAAATGGTTCATAACATTGTTAGTCAAAAGGACTGTCTTTGTAAGATTTTAAAACCAGAGAGACCATCTATTTACACAATTGACGATTTGTCATAAGGACCATAGTTGGTCAATTGTGTCAACCACAAGTACCATTTATGTAATTTTGTTTAAATAATAAGATCTAAAACTTAAAAAAATAATGGTTCATTGATGAACTTTTGCTTTCTACATTTCAGGAAATTATACTTTTTCACAAAGCCTCCGTTTGACACTTTTTTATGTATAAGAAGTCGAAACTCGATACCTTCCATGTTCTAGCTGAAATTCCGATTTACATCTCTTATGTTAGGTTGTTAGCATGTTAGCACTTAGCAGTTAGACGATCGATAAAGAACCCCAAAGCAATACATCTATCTACCCTTTTTTTTTACTCTATAATGCTTTTTAACCCCTTAAAAGTATATAATTATAATACAACCGAAAAGACGTGTGTGTGTGTGTGTGTGTATATATATATATATATATATATATATATATATATATATATATATATATATATATGTGTGTGTGTGTGTGTGTGTGTACCAAAAGTATAAGAAGCAATCCAATTATGTACATCAACATAGTCCAGAGTCCATAGTGGTAGCCTGCATCAATGGATGACACCCATGTCACGGGTCCCGGTGGCTTGGGACACAAAGCCTCGACCCCCAAAAACAGGGCGCATAAACGCATCATCAAACTTTCTCCAATACTGATGAACCATGTTTGGAGGAGTATCTGGTAGCCTCTTTTCATTTCCGCTTTCTTCATGGTCAGGGTCAGGGTCAGGGTCATGCCCATCCCCATTTTGTAGAAGCGGCATACTACTTGATGAGTTTGGAGTAGATGGGTCTGTTTCATCTGGTAACAACCATCTTATAATCGGCTTTGTCAGCAATCCAAATACCTACACTTTGATCACTTGCTTAAAATAAATGTTTCTCACCAAATTACTAGTATTATTTACATGATGATTTTCAATGCTTACCACTGTACTGAAAAGAACAACAGTAATGGTGCTGGTGATCAGCAGCGCATTTGCAGGCTGAATAGTTTGCCCAGATCCAGTAAACTGCTGACATCAAATGTAGTTTGATTAGTATACAAAAAATTCCATGCTTAATTGATTTTTTTTTTTTTTTTTACCTTCTTATAAGCAAGTGCTACGGATACAGCACCTCGCATGAGACCAGCCCACCAAACGGTAACTTGCTGTTTAATCTTGATCTTTTCGTTCCTATTTTTTCGAATAAAGTTGGAGAATAATGACAGAGGGAACACAAAAGCTGCCCTTCCAACCATAATCAACCCAACCAGTATACCACTTGCACTAAATGATTTTCCAGGGCTGTATCAATTAAGACTTTGGTTTCAATTCAAAATGTTCATTGGATAGGATAACCAAATAAAGCTAGTGGTAGTTACCTATCCTCTATGAACCTCCATTTTTCAATATCTAACGAGTCCATTCCAACATACAGGAAGATAAACACCTCAGATATATACGACATTGTGGCAAAAGTATGCCTGCAGTCGACATTAGGTGAGTGAGCAAATTTAATAGAGTTTGGATTTGGATATGATTATGGTTACACACACTTACTTTGTGGTTACTTGTGAACTCAAAGTGATGTTATGCCATGCGTAGTGTGACATTACAATCCCACAAAAGAATACTGTAAGGATTCCGCTTAATTCAAACATCTGGAGATACATATATACAAATTAAGTTACTGTTTGAGATTTGACCAGGTGTCGTGAAAATGGAAAATATGGAATATGCTTACCTCAGCTGTAATGTATGAGAGGTAAGCCATGAGCATCATGAGAGCTATTTCACGATCAGTTGAATGCCTGGAAGTATTTTGAGACAACACTCATCAAAACTAGGATTTTGATTACTTAAAGAAAGCTGGAAACAAGAGATGGATTTGAGCATATGCCTTCCAAAGTATAATGTTCTGATGATGAATGAACATAGCAGCCCAACCTACAAAAGCAATGAAAAACTATCACATAAAGGTGAACTTAAAAAAAAAATAGCTATCAACATATAGATTAAAGAAGCTTACAAAAATTCCCAACAACGTGCTTAATACAAACAATGTCAAGAAACTGTAAGCAAATGTAAGGGCTTCAGTAGCATTAAAGTTGTTTAGGTCAAAACTGGTGATGGCATTGAAAAGTACCACAGATGTGGCATCATTCACCACACCCTCCCCAAACACTAGACTGTACAACAGTGGTGTTTCTTCTTGATTAAGCACCTGTTGACATGATATTGTTATATTTTTAGTATGTCATTCCTTTGAAGCTCATAATTTTTTTTTTTTTTTTTTTTTTTTAAAATGCATGTACCTGTAAGGCGCACACAGAATCTGTTGCAGAAAATATGGCTCCAAGTGCTACTCACAACAACACATAAAAAAATAGAGGAATTTTAGTAGAGACAAACATACATCTGTGGCTCAGCTTTATATCTTTATATGGAATCTATTCATCAATATAGCAATTTGGAATACCTAAAGCAACTATCCACATTAGTTTCATAACATGAGAAAAAGAGAATAAATACCAAGATAGTCCTTGATCTCGAGGTAACCAATGTCCAGTTTAGGGAACAAGAGTGTTGCACCTGAATTTTAAAAAAAAAAAAAAAAAAAATCGTAATTCAAATTGAATATTTTGATGATCTTCATCATGGAGATAATAATCTAAGAGAGTATCATAAATACACTCCAAAGTCCAAAGAGACTTTCATACATTTTCCAATGATTTGAGCAAGCAGTTTGATAATTATTCTGATAATAGAGCTCAAAGCTATATGTGCTCTAAACTTATTAGAGCATACAAAACCAATCATTAACAAAAACAGAAGTTTAAAGCTATATATACAGAACATACCGTATGATATAATGGCAAAGGATATCAAAGTACCAATAGCTCCAAATAATGTAATGGTCATGAAATTGCGGAAAAACTGTTTCTTTTTCACCTGAAACCTGGTAATAATATTGCAGTGAAACCAAAAGTCTAAGTTACCCCCGACTACAGTCATATGTACTTTAAGAACTAAATGGACAAACAAACTTAGGCCTTGTTTAATAGTTGTTGATTGAGTACTAATCAAGGCCTGATTAAGTTAAGAGGCATATCATAGGCTATATTGTGGCATCAAACAGTTTGAATCTGACATATCCATTTAAATTTAAAAGTAGGAAGAATAGATACATACCCAGCATTGAAGATTATTGGTGGAAGGAGATATATAAAGAAAAACTCTTCCTGAAATTCCAATATGCGAGAGTTTTTACCACCAGAAGTTAGCAAAATAATGCATCCTGTGGCTAGACCCTGTGTCACAAGAAAATAATAGAAAATAAATCAAAAGCAAAAGGTAGTTTGTGCCTTGTGGTTGAAGCACGGATGACAGACTCACAATCAAAAGGGCTGTGACTGACTGATTGATCCACCGGGTTTTTTCAAGAAGATGACCGACCACTATGCAAGCACATAAAAGGGTTGCAAATAAGGCTATGCTGCGTACATACTCGTCCTCTGGATCCGATGTTGATAAACCTGAACTTGACCCCACATGGATACCCATATTACAACCTACCAAACAAAAACAAAATCCAAATTTCTCAACCATCTTTATCAACAAAACAAGATTGTTACCAAGAATCTTCATACATGATCAAGGAAATACTCCTTCACAATTGTGCTTTTGGTTTCAAATTAGTTATCAAACCCACAAACTATGTTGTCTACGTGTAATTTCTCCATGACGCTAAACAATTCATATCGACCCTCCAAACCCTAAAAATCGTCAACCAGATCTAAAAATGCGACATGCATCAATGTACCAACGGTTGCTGGGAGACGATTCCAATATAATAATCATGAAATTAGAAGTACAACTACAAACAATTAGATAATTACACACCTAAATTATAACAATGCTACTAATTAAAGTTTCAGGATGCTAAGCAGTCATCAACTCACGCTACACCTATTTGGCTTCAACTTTTTTATTTTTTTTTGCATTGTACTTGTTAAAGCCAAAAACTTGAACAAAATTCATTGAATTTTCACGCCATTACTTTACTAGAAACATGAAAATGAGCAAACAAGAGGAACAAAGACTTCGTACCTCAAAATCCGCAACCGATCGTAGAAAAATTCTTCAACTAAAAACAGAGTTAACAGACTTTTTCGTCAACCTAAGGTTTATAAAACTTCTTTTAATATAAATCGTTCAAGAAAATATGAACTTGAAGAAGAATTAGGGTTTTCTTAACGAGCAAGAGTGCAAGACGCGATGGAACAAGGCAACGAATCGTGGAAAGGCAGGCTTTTAAATACCGCGAAAGTGAAGAAGATGCTACTGCCGTGTTGCGTTAATATGGAATTTTGAGGGTTAGGTGTACATTGCAAAACTAGTCAAGATACTGGGTATTAAAAAGTCTACTAAAAGAAATATTAAATAGTAGATATAAATATATTTTTAACATTTTGAAAAAGAGAAACATATATTTTAAATTTAGAAGATAAATCTAGGGGTGTTTGTATTGGTTTTAAAGTGATTTTTGATTTTATCTTTTACAAAAAGTTCAAAAAGATGTTTGGGTAAAATGAAAATGACTTTTTAATCAACTTTTGCTATAGTGTAAATTCCAGCTTTTTGAAAAGTCACGAAATCGTGATTTTTCCTGACTTTTCACCAGCTAAAACATTAAATTACATTTATAACCCCATCTAAAAGTTAAAGCATGTCATTTTTAGTCCTTTTTAGTCATTTTACATGTAAAAGTTAAACCAAACATTTTAATTTTTTATTTTTTCTTTCAAAAGCTAATACAAACACATTTTAAAAAATAACTTTTAATAAAAATTCTTTTACAAAAATGACGTTTGCCTCACAAAAGCTAAGCCAAACCCCCTCCTAGATATTTAAAAATAGGGGCTGATTTTTTCACTCAAGAATTTTATTGGTCCACTGAAAAAAAAAATGTTTACCCCTCTATATAATTAATAATTAATGATTAATAAACAATAAAAAGAAAGATCGTTGGTTTCCTTTTTATACCATGCCATTCTTCCATGGAAGATTTTCTTCTATAGAATCACAAAAAGAAACAGCCGCAACAAAGGATTCAATCAATCCTGCAAGTTCAAATATTCACCATACTAGAAACTTACAATTGCTAAGTGTTTCTTTTAAAATGTTTATCACATTAGAAACTTACCATTGCAAAATAACCATAAAATTGATTTCCGTCTACATGCACAACATTGAAAAGAAAGCAACATTGATAGGTAATAAATCAATTAAGAAAAACAATTAAATGCTAAAAAGGAACTTCAAATAATCAAAGAACACCCTAGGTAATCAAATGATCTTCAGATGAACACACAAACACACATATATTGTTCAGTAATTGCCGATGAACACACAACAGAATTGCAGAGACACATTGGCGAGGATTCTTGGTCATGATGGATCTTCAGTTGGAGCAAACCGATATGATATGCAAATGAACACACATATACACTAACTGATTGGATCATAGACGATAACAAACACATCCACCATCGATTTTGGATGAATGGGTGGAAGGGATCGTCAATTTTTTGAGCATACCAACGAGAATTCTAGGTCACCGAGTGGTGATGGAGTGGGAGGATGATGCAACATAGATGTATATAAGTTCACTCCATTTGAAAGTAAGAGGAAGAAACTGCTGAAGAGTGACGAAGTAGCACCGACTGAATAAACATCGGTGAAGGAGAAATGAGAAAATGGTGTCTCCATTGTTTGTCATTTGGAATTTAGGATATTTCTATCTTCATTATTTTTTAATTAAATAAAAGGGTATAAATGTCATATAAGTTTTTGAGTAAATTGCACAAATGGTCCTATGGTTTAGGGTAATTTGAACATTTGGTCCTTAATTTATTTTTTTAACTTGGAAGGTCTTTAATGTTTGTTTTTGTTACGCGTTTGGTCCCTGTTTTACCTAAAAAAAACATATTTTGTCATTGATTTTTTAATTTATTTAAATAAACTCACTCCAACCCAAACTCACCTCCCTCATCTTATCTTACCTACCCCACTATTTTTTCTCTATTTAAATAATAATCTCTTTAGGTAAGACAAAGATCAAGCATGTAACAAAAACAAATTGTAGGGACTTTCCGAATTAAAAAATAAGTTAGAGACCAAGCGCGTAAATTACCTCAAACCATAGGGACCAATCGTGTAATTTACTCTAACTTTTTCTTCCGTGGACGAAGTAAATTTCTATGTGGCAAAATCATGACCGTTAAAATATCATCATCAAGATAATATTTCGAAATTTGTAGAGATGTTAAAAATTATTTCCATCTAAAAAAATCTAAAAGTGTTGGTTCAGAATCATGTTTTTATAAGAAGTGTAATGATGTTATGGGATGTACAGTTAACACTATAACACAAACATTAAATAAATAGAAATTCAAAACATTAGACAGATAAAACTAAAAACATATTACATTAATAACAACCTAAATAATTAGTTGTTATTTTTATATTTTACTTGGATTTTGTCTTTTCAACGCAAACAACATCTCGAGTCTTCACGTTCAAGGCCATCTATTGACATTTTCAAAACATGCTGTAACACCGTAAAAATTTGAACAATTTTTCACTTTTTGAAAAAAACATGAAATATAGTTTGCATTCATAAATAAAAACATTGTATCAGTACAAAACCCCAAGATCAAAATGTTTAAACTCCAATGTGCGTGTGTACGAGTCATGTTGACGCCTTCCTGCGATTATCGCTAGTACCTGAAACACATCACATATAACACTGTAAGCATAAATGCTTAGTGAGTTCCCCCAAAATACCACATATAGCACATATAGGACCTTCCGATCCAAGTGTCTCATGGGATTTCCATCCCAGACTCTGTTGACCTTCCGGTCCGTATCATCTTGACCTTTCGGCCCACATCATGCTCATATCACATAACATATCACATACAACTTACATCCCATATACATCATACACATAAGACCCTTCGGTCACATATAATTACCCCATCGGGTAAGGCATAGTGAGAAGACTCACCTCAGACGTCTCGTAAATCTATGACTCGGTAGAAGTATTGCCTAGCCTCCGCCTATTCACACAAAGTAAATACCCTCATAAACATAACACTCGAGGCTAGACTCGACCCTTTATTGTCACCCTCAGAAGGGTAAAAGACTATTTTACCCCCTCTTGACCCAAGGACCCCATTGTTGACCAAACCCTAAAAGTCAACAAAAGTCAACGGTCAACTTTGACCCAACTCGCCGGGTGCACTCCGATGACTCGGCGAGTACACACACATGTCCACTAACCCTCTGTCCCGCTTGGTATGTCGAGTCCTATCCTATGCTCGACGAGTCACACCTGGTGTGAATCGTGGGGCTACCCCGACTCAACTCGTCGAGTCTCAAGAACAACTCGGCGAGTACCGCCTTGAACTCCAGTCTTTTAACCCCCTTCTAACTCACTGAGTTATCCCCCAACTCGGCAAGTCTACTCACTGAGTGATCTGTGTGGACCTTAACCCTACTCGCCGAGTCTCAAGAACAACTCGGCGAGTTCATGCCATGCACAGACTCTATTGACCTCCTGTGGTCAGATCTGTGCCCCTAATCCATAGATCTGGCCTTCCCAAGCATAAATGTTACGTAAAGTTTGAATCTTGATGCTTATAACTCAACCAATAGGCATCAAATGGTGATTTTGTCCCAAATACCTTAACCCAAGGTCATGACCTCCATTGTTCTTCATAAAGCTTGAAGAATAAGGCTCTCTGGACCTCTATGGGTCCAGGTACAAAGCCTCATCTCCAGAAGGGGCTATTTGGACCTCAAATCAACTTAGTCAAGGGTATAAGAAACCCTAAAACCACATATCCTTCCCAAAACAGAAGAAGAGTCGAAATAATACCTCAAATGAATGATCTTAGCTTTTAGTCCTTAGAATAGCAACCTCCTTTGCTTTCCCTTGGCTAGAACCTCCTTCTTCTTACTAAATGACACCACAAAGATCAACAATGGTCACTCATTGCTTCTCAAACGACCTGAAACTCTCTCTGGGGGGTAGTAGCCAAAATGGACGGCCATAAGGGCCTTTAAATAGGTCCCAAGCCCTGGAAATTAGGGCTTCACCAAACAGCGTGGACTCGCTGAGTCCACGAATGGACTCGCCGAGTCCGGACATGAATTAGAATGAACATCCGTGTCCCTACTCGGCGAGTCTTGGTGCCAACTCGCCGAGTTCCTCCACAAACTCCAAAAATTAAATGAACAAATAATATACTTGTGAATCCGGATGTTACACATGCACATCATGCACCACCTGTTGCTTCTGAAGTATTTTTTTTTGTTGCTCGCGTCTTGAATCCAACTTTTTTTTTCTAGTGCAAGACGTTAATCAAATATTTCTCATAAAAACCCCTAGCTGTTCGATGTGGTTTCTTTTATCTTATTCTTTGAAGATGATGCAGCTCATTTTCCTTATTATATATGACGTTTTTCGTTGTTTCAGTTTGGTTTTCATGATTTGATTTGTCCTACAAAGTACCCTATATATATATATATATATATATATATATATATATATATATATATATATATATATATATAGTTTTTAAATGTTTTTGCCATAAGAAATGTTATCGATTGAATACTCTCATATATATATATACACACACACACACACACACACACCTTAATAAGTATTTAGCCACAAATGTTGAATTTTAAGAGGTACAAGTCTTAATGCAATATTTATAATCATTTTAGGCATTGAAACAAATACTAAACTTGTCCGATCTACAAAATACTAAATTCTATCCTATAAATTGAGCAACATTCGTCACAATTTCTGCCAATTGAATTGGTCAAGAGGGAATACCATAAAAAATCGACCCCGATTGAATCGGCCAACATGGAATACACTATAAAGTCACCTTCATCCACCCATATTTGTCACAATAGATAACTAGGAGGCTTGATTGTGTTGCCAATGAAAGATCCAAGAGTATTGGAAAGATCATATTTCTTCTCCATATGGGATTCTAACAACTCATCACCACCATCACTGTTTTTCGTCACCCTCTCCCTTCTCCATCTCTAAAAAAACCATAAACCTATCGACCAATACACACTAATCTTGGTAACCATCATTTCTCACCCTGAAACACACACTCAAAACCTTAGATCCACTGCCTCGCCCCTCTTTGAACCGGTCAAAGTAGATCCCCGCTCTGCCCTCAACTAATCATATATACCTTACCCACTTCCATGAACGCCCATACACACAGACACATAAGCACCCTCCTACCTCCACATATTTGACTTTCAAACTATGACTTCAGGAAATCAAAGGTTTAATTTTTTTCAAGATTCATTTAATGGAACACAAAATTTCTACTAAACTGTTAATGGTTCTGAATTACGTAATCTAGCTTATGTGCTCTGATTTTTCAGTGTATTACAATGACAAGTATTCAAGAAGAAGCATTAAAAGCTCAATTTTTTGTTTAATGGATCTTCATCGCCTTAAAAAAATTGACGGTTAATAGTTCTATACATAGAAAAAACAAGCAGTTTTTTTTATTGTATATGGTGGTATAGTTTATTTCATCACAACATCGAGTTTTTCTTTCTTTGAGTCTGTTGGTTTCTATATATTTCCTGACCATCATCATCCTTTTTCTGTACATTCGATTGAACATAATCAAGAATTAGGACCAAACAGACTCAAGCAAGGCAAAACTTGATTCAAAAACCATTTACTCACTAAATATCTGTTTCATGTCCTATTCTAATCTAAATGTTTTGTATTTATTTGTTCTGTGTACTAATTCTAATTTTATTGAGTTTTTAGATTTTGTAGGTTCTTCAAATTTTACGCTTGATGGTGAAGTTTTTTTTTTCTTCAAGTTATGTTGAGCGTATATAGCTTACCTCCATCTCTTCCTCTAAAAATGTGAAATCTACAAGTTCGTTGCATATTAGTTTCTTCTCCCTCTTAATTTCACAAAATATTCAATAGATTATTTATTTTCAGTGTTCAAACCATGGTTTTACTTTGTTAATCTTTTTTTCTCTTTTAAAAAACTGAAAAAAAATGTTTGTATAAATGGTTTATTTGAAATAAAAAGTGTAATTTGTTGCTTTATTTTTGTGAAGTTGATTGTAGAACAACCAAAGCTCAATGGACCTCCACCAATGAAATTATTTTACTCATCAAGCGAAGGAAGTTAGATTTGATATTTAATTTCACTAACTATTTTTGGATCTTTTATGCTTCTTAGATGATATGTTGAATGGCATACAAAAAATGTGGATAAACTACCCTATCCTGGTAAGCTTTTAAGATTTTTCTATCATTAAGCTTAAGACTTTGACCAGTTTACGAACCTTTTGATTGCAATACAGCAAGCCTCTCAACATAGTTACTTGAAACAAGTTTAATTTAGTTTATATAAGCCTTCAAAAATTTAAGTTTATTTCTCGTGTTCATTCTTCAGGCTAAAGAGGGAACATTGTCACAACCATTTGAATTATTTACAGTTTGTGGAACTGTGACATCCCTATTTTCGTGGCCAGAAAAGTCTAATTTGTTTATGCTTTGTTTTGAAAATCATAGTAACATTTTAAAGAAAAGTATTGTAGAATTTGTTCCCAAAAGATAAATATGATAAAGATTTATCAAAGCATTTCCAAAGAAATGTATTTCATTATATTAAAACCTCAGGATGTCATGT